GCGAAAAACGAGTTAAGTGGGCAAAAGAACACATTAAATGGTCAGAAAATCAATGGAAGCAAGTAATCTGGAGCGATGAGAGTAAAATATCGCTCTTTGGTAGTGATGGTAAAAAATACGTGAGACGTAGAGAAGGTGAAGCACTTCATTCTGATTGCATTGAAGCAACTACAAAAAACCTAACAAAGGTCATGATTTGGGCATGTATGTCTGCAGATGGTGTGGGCTGAATTCAAGTGATTGATGGCATCCTGAATACCAAAAAATTCATCAAAACTGTTGTGAAACCAAAATTGATACCTTCCATCAGGGATCTCTTCCCCAACAATGCACCATTTATTTTTCAGCAGGATTCAGCTTCATGCAACACAACAGAAGTATGCTAAGCATGGTTTCAAAATAAAGGCATAGATATATTACAATGGCCAGGAAACAGAGCTGATCTCAATCCAATTGAAAATTTGTGGTGACATTTGAAAATTCTTGTATGAAAAAAACCTCCATCCAATAAAAGACAACTTATTGAAGCTATAATTGATTCTTGGCACCATGTGATTACGAAAGATGAACTCCAAACACTCGTTCACTCGATGAAAAGACGCTGTGAAGCTGTCTTTAAAAAAAAGGGTCATCCTACAAAGTATAGATTGTGTAAGTATCACTTTAAAAAAAATGCAAATCTAAGATAGATCTTACTATTAGTTGCATAACTTTTTCTGTAATACAGATATTGTAATACTGTATTTATTATTAAATTCTACATTAAATTACCTTCAATTTGATATATAAACGTTTGCATTTAATGGAAAATTAATATATTCTACAAGCACACAAATTTGAAAAACATGAAACTTTCAAAAAATGTCCACACTTTTGGCCACCACTGTATAGCTAAAGAAAAATATATCAATACAATAGAGTATATAAATACAAATAATAGATACACAAAAAAAAACTTAGACAATTATTTTCCACACAATGCTTTTAAGTAACAAGAGGTTAAAATTGTAAGATAAAAACGATGTTCATTTATTATTTTACTCTGTTGATACTAGAAATAAATAAAAATGTCCTTTTTCATATTACATCGCTCACTTTAACAGCAGAAAAATGCAATCCCCTAAAAGAATTGTTGAAATCGAAGAAGCTAGTAATTTTTAACCTTTAAAAAGAAAAAGATTTTGTCATCTTTAATATCAGCATTTTGATAGTTGAAATTCTTAAGAAAACTTCTGGCAATAACAAGACACTCGTTATAACAAGATTTCACTGTATAAAATCAACAAATAACATAAAAACAGAATAAATCTTACCACAATGCTTTTCATCACAGAAGACTGATCCATTTCATAGGATACAGAAAATTTAACCTAATAAAAGTGTAAAAATATTTGTACAAAAAATAAAGTATATCCTCAAAATCTGAAAATTTTTANAAAAAAAAAAAAAAAAAAAAAAAAAAAAAAAAAAAAAATTCACCAAATCTATTTTAAATAAAAAGAAAGAGGAAGAAATTCATATGTCATAATACTATCATAGTAAAAAATATATTTTACAAACCATGTGAAAATCTGTAGCAATCACTTCTGAAAAAGTGATTTAAAAAAAAACCAGTCTGGATTTACAATTAAATGATGGAAATGAAGCGAATTAAAAAATAATTACTCAAATGTGCAGGTTGTAATACCTGTGTAGTACTAAACATCAGGATTTAACAAAAAATTTATTGAAAATAAAGGTGAATTTGAAAAAATTTAACACTAAAAAATGAGCCTTGCTAAAAGTTTTTTATTACTAAAATTAAATGCTGATCTTTATACACTAAAAATAAAAATGGAGTTTTACACAAAAATTAATCAAAATAGGTAATAGAAAACATAAATTAGCATGATGAAGGCTTATGATAGAGAGAAATAACAACAATTATTTCACATTATTGAACAATCATTAACAAATAGTATTCTCTTTTAAATATGTAATGCGAATAAAATTTTAAAAAACCTAGAGTATCTGAGCTTTGCTCCGTTGATCAAAGATTTTTTTAAATTTTTACTCTCAATTTTTAATGCAAAACTATGATATATACAGAAGTTGGATGAAATAATGGAAACACTTGGATAGTAACAATTTTTGATGTCTCACAAAAAATACTTAGGAATAGGTTTAGAAATTTAGAAGTGTTTAGATTGTGCGATTTCCCATACATATAAATGAAGGGGTTTAAATTTTTTAAGGTTTGAGTGACTGGCAATAATTTACAAAGGGAAAAAAATGTTTAGAAACACTCTATGCCATAAAATGTAGTAATAAATTCGTAGCTTATTACAATGATTTTGGTTATTATATGCAATAATTGTACAAATTTTCAAAATCTTCAATTTTCAGAAATTTTCTTAAATATTTAGGCTAATGTGGAAATTTTTACAAAAAAACTTATTTTTTTGTTTTATAAAGAAAACTTTTGGACCCATTTGAAATTAATTATAAAATTAATGCTTTAAAGTTTGAGAAAAATTCATTAAAAACTGTGCAAGATCTGAGTAATTTAAGTAGTTCTGTTAAGTTATACTGCACATGCTCGGAAAAAATTATTTTTTTAAATTCTGTAGTGAATTGTATTTGGCAAGTAATAAAAGTCTGATTTGAATATCTTAAAAAGTCTCAAGCAATTTTCTTTAGCTTTTTTTCAAGTAGCTTTTTTCTTCTTCTTATCCTTTAAAAGAAAAATGATAAGGGGTTTTCCACAAATTTTATTTTGTGTTATTAAACAAAATTTGTTAAAAATGACATCTCCATAGAAATATCTTTTCTTTCGCATATTTTAATTCCCAATACCATTGAACTTTGTTGTCTGGACCATTATTAGAAGGGTCTTATCATTTGTTAATAAATCTTGTTTCATAGTACAAAATGAAATTTTTGAAAAACCTCTTATTATTTTGACCTTTTAATGAGTAAAAAAGCTACTTATAAAATTGCTTGAAACTTTTAAAAATTTTAAGACTTTCTAACCGGACCTTTTTTATGAGTTGCCAAATACGATTAAATACAAAATAAAGAGAAAAAAATAAGATAGAATAGAAATAATATCAGAAAAGCTGCAAACAATCAATAAGCAATTTTCTTAAAAAAAAAAAAAAAGAATAAATTTTGAAAAAGTTTGTGCGAGTTTTGTAGAGAAAAAAATTACTGTTAGAAAAACATAAAAAGCAGTACTTTCTGGAAAAGGGTAAATTCAAGACAATTTAACTTTATCAGTACAGGCAATTTTCATGAATCAGCAGAAAATGACGTAGGAAGCGGGATGACATACGAAACGGGCAGCGTTAAACTGAGGTTCCACTAAATAAGTATATATTATTCCATAATATATTAACATAATATAATAACAGCTCTTAATATCTACTTTTAAAATCCTTTAATTTTTTTCTTAAATTAGGGAGCACAAATTAATACTTAAGTGCTAAAGAGCATTTTCAAACTCTGGTTATTTTTAGACTATTGAGGATAAATGAGGGATTAAAATCATCTAAAGACTGTTTGTCAGAGGAAGCTCCCAGCAAATGAAAGTATCTAAAGGCAAATAAACTAATTTTTGATGATTTTTATCCTTTCCTAGCACTTATTAAACGTACTGATAATTGACAAGAGTTTTTTATCAACCAAATATTGACTTGCAACCCACATATGTGCACATATTTTCTATCTAATTTTTACAAGCACTCTAAATTAAGAGAAAATTACAAAACAGCTCATATACTTTTATTGTAAGAAATATAATTAAAAAGCAATTTAAATGAAGTTAAAGAATAATTGATAATTCATAAATAAAAATGTTACTGGCAGTTGACTGCCATAATGACATTTTGGGAGCGAAAG